GTCAGAACCACTGGATAGAGTATATCAGATAAAGCGCTTGGGATAGGCGTAAAGCTCTACCTTGCAGCAAAATGGGGTGCAGCACTTTACACAGCAACAATCAGTGTACAGCATGTAATTTGAATAGACTTCTTTTTTATTACAATGGATAGAGATTGGTATGTGTAGCTGATAAATTAGCAAAGCATGACATTTGTGCTCTGCCTGAACTAATACAATGCTCTCTTTCAGTCAGGTGTTCATGTGTTTAGTTGGGTTTCATGGCTCTGCAGTAATCTGTATGCTTACCCTGCTGGCATGCTGAAAAGAGATGCAAGGAGGGAATGCTAATACCCTCAAACCTAGAACTATGTGGCAAAGGTGGAGCAGATGATTTTTAGTAAGCAACCAACAAGTTTTCATACTGAAATACAAAATAAAAAACCTATGTAGACGCAAACTTACCATCTGTTTGTCAACCATTCTTTTTTCCTCCTCTCTTGTATTTAGGTTGGTGCTGCACAATTTATGGCTTTAAGCCATATGAACACAATGTCACACTCTAGTGCTCAGTGTGGTTTCACTCATGTTAGCAAACTCTGCTGTTTCTGTGGGCTATTTCCTTAACCTTCCAGTTTCACTCCATGCATGTGTGTTAGATTAGAAGATCCATACTGCCATGTCTGTGCATGCAGCTAGAACCCAAATTAATCTTAGCATCTTGAGGAGTTAAAGGGGAGTTATCATGGATGAGTTAATAATACTGTGTTTCAGGATGGTGCCTCATTCATTCATATGGTCACTGGACGTGCACGCCGAAATTGTTTTTTAGAATTCTGAATATTTGTGCACACAGACCTTTGTTTTTGTGTACAGCACATCCATTTCTAATAATAGTGTATGAGAAATAAAATACTTTTTTGGCCTCACATGTTCATGCAATACCAAGTGTGGCCTCTATGCCACAATCACCACACAACCCAGCGCCGTCCCCTTACATCTCTCCCTGTGCAGTGGCTTCCTGAAATCTTTTTGTCATTGTGTCAAACTATTACTTTCAGGTTGATAGGGAAAAACATTGGCTCATTTAATCCTGTTAAGATGAATCCTTCAGTAAGACTAAAGATGTGACAGGACAACACGATATTTACCTCATGATAAAAATATTTTGTGGAAGAAGAAGCAGATACAAACTGGATGGAAATAAGTTGTCTCCTACTTGGAGGAAGTCATGATTTTAAATAGTACACTGACGATCTCTGTATGAGCAGTTGGAATGGCATTTAAAACAACTTGACACTGCTCCACAAATAAGCAAACAACATGTTTGCTGCCAATTCTGCACTTTGAAGGGGCTGCGTTGATGGTACAGCCAGCACACATAGTGTCAAGACCAGACTTGAATGCCTTGTGCATCTAGTGGCTCTACAGAGATAGGAACTCAGTCACTGACATCATTTGCTGTCTTTTGAACTATGAATTGAAGAGCTAGATCACACGTCTGGCATCCTTCCTCTGCGTTACTCGTTCAGCATGCACCCTTCCTATCATGACTCACACTCCTTCAAAGCAATTAGGAGATGCACCATACTGGCCTGGCTTTTGGCCACGCACAGACACTTAAAATTTCATCAGTGACAGGTTGCATTGTGTTGCAGGATTTCAAAACACCAGCGGATCTTATGAAGGCTATTCAACCATAAGAATTATTTAAATTAACTTGCTAGACTAGACTTAAAGTTGGTGTTCCTGGATAGTCACTCTAATAAAGCTAATTATCCGCATTCTTTGAGAGCTTACCTTATAGGTTGTTTTTTCTGCCAGACGGACAATGTATTTCATATGAAATAAGATTAAAATGTATATAAAAAATATACAGTAATTATACTATACACTATATACCAGTACTACACTATGCTTTATTGGTGTGGTAGTGGCTCAGTCTATAGGGACTTGCTAGTTGCTAGTGCTAGTTCCACCTCCTGGGCGACCTCCGAGGTGACCTAGAGCAAAGCACCCAACCCCCCACTGCTCCTGGTGTGCTGCGATGTGGCACCCCATTACTCCACTGGCTTTCAACATTTGCATATCTATAAGCCCTGTGTGTAATTGTATTTCAGGCCTATGTGTGTAAAACCTCGAGTGGAAAAAGAATTTCCCCATTGGGGAGTAAATCTTCTATCTTCTTCTACACAACAAAAATATAAAAAGCAATGATAAACAGAGAACAATAAAGCAATACAATCAGTCAAGCAAGGCTTGAAGACTATATAATTGTATAATTTTAGCATTTCATAAAAACACACCAGTAAATAGCCAGCATTTTCCAAACTCCAGATTTTACAGAACAAACTAATATCAGTAGTGTGTCTGGATTATAACAGTTAAAAATAATGTTGTTTATGTTCCTGAGACTTGAGAGCATTATTGCAGAAAAGCAAATTAAAACATTGTTTTAATGCTTGAAGAAATAGAACTAATCATAAATGTGCAAACACTTGTTCTTATCTTCTCTTATCTCTATGGCACAATAGGTATACTATTTATTTATAGAATATTGTGATGTCCAGATCATGCTCCAGTGATCGGGTATGACGTCAGTTAGATTCATTGAAACAATAACTGCTGGGAATCCTGAAAGAATTGTCAGTGCACTTAATATTGAACATTTGATTTAATTTATCATTTTATCAGTTATTATGTTCAACTGACTACCTATTATTGTAGGAGCCCTGTTTTGAACCAGAATTAGCAGAGGAAAGGATTCAAATTAGTGAAATTATGTAATAAAAAAGGACTACTATTACTCGACTACTAAAAACATCACATTCCCAACAGGCCTTCCTATTGATATATTAGGGAAACTATGGATTAAAGATGCCTTATATCACAAAATGTTGTTATTTCACTTGTAGATCACCGTTCTTGAACACAATGGTCACTAAGAATCCATGATTCTGATTAGTTGGTTTATTCTTGTAATGGACAACGTAACAAGACACCTCTGACATGGGTTCATTGACCACTGTAAATTATATTTACGGTATTAAAGCTTTACTAATCCCATTTTTTTGTAATTGACCATGATCGAATGGAATGACTACGTGTAATGTGAGAGGGGTCATTTGTAGTTTAGAACCCACTGAAAATTATGCAACACTGCAGTTCTACTCAGCTCTGTCATAGTGTTTTAGCATCCTTCAGGTCATTGTTTTACTTTTATGTCCCACAACTTTACTGTTTTGGTTCAGCCTCATTTCCTGCATCAGCGAGCAGATGTTTTCAGCAAAAAGGCTCTGATAAATCCAATGTATGCTGCCTGCCCAACACCAAAAGGCGGACAGACACAGTCTGTGTACAGGTACACATTTTGATCTGATCCCCTGATCTTAATCTGCTCTGGAACAGGTATCTCAAATCCAAAGATCAGAGGTTATTGTGATGATCAAACCAAGTTAAAAGTGAGCCAGCTGAGGCTATGAAAGCCAGAGTTGAGTTATTTGGCTAACCCCTTTATCATGGAACATCATTTCACTGACAGCTATTTGCATAACAGTCAAATGAAAAAAAGTGCAGCTTTCTAGCTTCTATCATATCATACTATTTTACTTCTACTAATGAACCCATTTTTAAATGTATCCCCTTAGATATGCTCTGATGGCTTAACTATTATTGTTGCAAGTTATGCTGCTATAATCTTGATTGACGTTAGCTAAACCTACATCATATGCAGCCAATCAACTTACATGTTGTCATGGTACGTATTTATAGTAGTTAGTGAGCTAAGATCACTGACTTACTCCATGGTGTCTCCGTCTCACACTACACTAAAATAACATCAAACACTTTTACATTTTACATTGTATTGGCTTATAACTCTGTACTCTGTATGTCGTACAATAATCTACATCTACACAGTTGTACTTTGTGTTTCAATTGCGCAGACATGAAACATTTTGTCAGTAGTGTCAATGTGGTGCGCCGTCACTGATCATAATTTTTTACGTCTTCTGTGTGCCGTCACTAACAGGATCATAATTTCATATAAAGGTGTCACCGGTTATGCTTTTTCATATGTGTGGAGGTACATTTTAATCTCTTATGGTGCTCTGACACCATTTTGGTCAAGCAGGCTAGTCTATCACTGTCTTAGCCTTGCTAACTGAACTACTTTTTGCATAAATATAAATAGCTTAATAGACTTTCTTGCAGTACCTTGGGCTGCCCTAGTAGGACCAAAGAAACTCCACCCATGTCGCAAATCATACTGTAAGTAGGGGTATGGCACCTTATCTGTGGAAGTTAAGATAATATATGGTTTTAGAGGAAGCTCATTAAAAGCTAATTCATTTCCTTTGATATCTCCATTTCACTTATTATCATTTTCACTCCAATATATTGCCACTTTCAACATATGTATGCAAGATATGTGTATCTTGCTCTTGGTGATAAGAGCTCCACACAGGTAGATCGTGCAAAATGGATGCAACATCAGCTCTTAGTTGGGATTCATTTTTGGGAACAAATCAGTAAAAACCTTTAACAGTTCGGTAGAATATCCAGAGTAACTAGGACATTATTTATGGAAAGACATGTTGCTGAGTTCATTTCTTTCAAAATGCCATTTAAAAAAAAAAAAAAAGAAATCGTTAGGCTCCACAAACAAAATTCAATTGACCTTTACTGCGTTGGGTTGCCAGCAGAAAACTCAGAGATGTTATCTCAAAACCTTAGTAGATAAAGCCAAAATTCTCTGCATGACTGAAATGTTTTTATATTCTGGGTCTGTTTAGGCTACCTTTCACACTATTGGGAATTTTATTGTTGTGGTTGATGTTCTAAAACATGAACACAGGTTTTCTTCTGAGAGGTACAAGGCTACTAAATGTTAATTTCCTTTTTTTAATCAGTTTGATCAAAGCAACACTTTCAGACAAAAAACAAACTCACAAATGACCATGCTGCTGGATACATGGATGCAATGAGAAAAAAAAACCCCACGCACTTCAGGGTGTTCCCCATTTATAAAATGTGAATGTTTATTAAATGTTGACAAGAACATTAAAACACAGTATCAAGATTCAGCAAAACAATCTATAGTACTTCACCAAAAAGAAAAGAAAAGGAAAACAGAGTTAGTTCTGCGCTGGGACTGAAGGAATGGGAGGACTGAGGGCCAGAGAGAGGAGAGTGGGGACAGGAGTGGGGCAAAAAGCAGAGCATTAAAGAGGCAGGGAATCAGGAGCCGGGAAGAGAAGAGAGGTGAATTTAGGATCTATGGAGTGAGAGGGAATTGGCAGCAGAGGCTAAGGCAATTAAGGAGGTACACAGTAAGAAAGATAGGAGGTTTGGGGACCTGGGGGATCGATCAGGAGGGTGCTGATGCACTGTAATGAGCGGGATAACTGGGAATGATTAGAGCCTCTGATTTCACTCTTTTATCATCTCTTCCGTTGGAGACTTAGCAAGCTGCAGCAGAGAGAGTGACTGTAAAAGCATTCACTCAACAAAAACACGAAAGGGGGCATGGCAAATAATACTTGTCTTTACATTTAAATAACAAGGGGCAACATAGCATTAACATATACAGTGAGCACAATGTGGTGTTGAGGTGAATAAAGATTTTGGGAGTGGGTTTGTCAGGGTTTTAGGGTACGAGCGCAGTTCAACACAGTACCAGAAGGTGGTGTCCACTTTTATGGGTTCACAATCACAATAAGTAATAGTTCATTATAATTATGTAAATCTCTCTGTTATCAACACAAATAGCAGGGGAGGCAAGTTGTACATAAGCATCACATTACTTCAAAATTTCCACAGAGAGACACACTCAGCCTCCCGCTCTGTTGTCTGGCTCATGCACATGGGCATGTACAAACCAAAGCATGTGCATATATGTGTACACACAGAGACACTGTAGACGCACACATGTGCACACACACTCACACACACACACACCCCTCTGCTCTGTCTAGAACAAAGAGACACACACATACATTTGCATACATTCTCACACGCAGTCCGGTTCCTTCTCCTTGAGTGACTTTATACATTTCCAACTTTTTTTTAAATTTGCCATATCCTCTGCCTTTCTCAGACCTCATACTCTGTGCCATTATTACATCAGCAAGTATCTATAACATGTGTCTGTGCTTTGATGTCAAAGAGAAGGTGGCAGTAGTCCACCGAGACATGACTTAGAGCTGTATGTACACAGCAGAGGTGCTGCAGAAATGCACACAGCAAAGCGGGATCCTCCCAAGCACCGGTGATGACAGAAAAACTCACAGCTGTTCAAGTGTCAGAGGTATTCAGTGCAGCGTTGCTCTGTGCTACACGTTAACTTGCTGTCAGCTGGGATGACACCTTTCAACACACATTCAAAACTGTCTCCCAGACAGTGCCATATGACTTTCCAAAGCCAAAATGTCAGAAAGATCGCATATGTCCAGCAAGGCAGCTAACGTGCCAAGAGGTTTGAAATCTCTCTCATATTGTTCCTCCATAAAAGATTTATATTTGTGCTGCAGATTTGAATGGGCATGTGCTTGAGGGATAATCACATTCCTCCTCTTCATTCATATATTCGACCTTCGGTGCAGCCTGGGCCACTCCCACCTGTCGCTCACATAGAGGAAGGGAAAAAGTTCTCTAATACATTACTTACATTTTTTTTTTTAACTGGTGGATTTTTGTCCATGTGCTTGAGTACTCTTTGTGTTTTAGCATAGTAAGAAAACGGCTTTACATGCTCTAAAAGTCATACACACTGTACATTAAAATCTACAGATATTTTTTAAAGCTTTTAGTACATCCAAAGAAACTCGATGAAACTGAAAAAAGTTGATTCACCGACTTAAAAAAAAAATAGACGGAAAGAAAATCGGAATTGCACTATTTTCTGCCCATAGGTTGCCTTTGTTTTTTCTTCATAAGATTTTTTTTTTTCATTTTTCTATTGTTCTTTTTTTTGTTTGCTTTAGGCAATTTTGTTTTTGCCATAACACATTGTAGAATTCCTACTCAGAAGAAAAAGACTGGTTGAGAGCGTCAAATCTTATTATACAGAAACATTCTCTCAGCTTGCATGACAAGAGAAACTGTGTCACACAAAACAAATGTCGTAGTAATCACCTGGAAAGGAGAAAAAAAATTACAAAACAGAGAACAAACCAGAGAAGAGGGAACGGGAATTGTTGGCAAAAGTGTGACTTTTCCTCAACAGGTAAGAAAATAAGATCAACAGTGTAGGTATGACACAGTCTTTGATTACTCTTTCATTCTCTGGTCCCAATTCTTCTCCAAATTGTTGTCTTTTCCTTCTTAATACATGTACATACTTTACAAGCTTTGTTATTTCATGTTAACTACTTAGATGGAGAGAGTGAAGGTATGCCAGCCATGCATCATGTTTAGTCTGTCTGTGCTAAACATTGTAGTCAGTCGAGACGCTCCACTGAACTCATGACAGGAAATTGATAGTGTGAGAGAACTCTGTCTGTCTCTCTCTGTAGACACACACACACACACGTACACGCAGACACACACGCATATGCACGTACACACACACACACACACACACACACACACACACACACACACACACACACACACACACACACACACACACACACACACACACACAAAGTGCTGGGTTACCATCTGTGAGTGCTGCATCAGTTGGCCAGTACTCAGCTGGCAGGCAGATCAGACAAAGTGCCCAATATGCTCCCTAATGGCCCAAGTCAGATGAATGAGATCCTCCGTTGTCTCTTTCTTTTTCTCATTTCTCTTTTTCATCCTTTTTGCACCTCCTCTACTTCGACTTCCTCTCTCCCCTTTGATTCACTCTGTCTTTAGCTTCGACTAATTTAACTCTTGTCAAATTGTTTCCTCGTTCTCTCTGTCTCTGTCTCTCTCTCATTATCTTAGGCCCCGCACTTCTTGCCACTACCCTGCTGGGTCTCATTCACACAGATCAAGGATGTAAATGTGACATAGTGTACCACTGCGCTGTCCTTTCTCACTGGGAAAACTCTGGATTTCCTTTGCAGAGGTGGAGGAAGGAGGATTTGTATCTCCTCTTCATATTTTGTGAAGGTTTTTTTTAGAGCAAGACTCTCTCCATCCACAGATTATACAGCAATGGGCATCGAGACTGAACCACAATCTAAGTGCCATGTCAGCACGGATGGGAGGTCAGAGTTACATGTCAAGAGGAAATCACTGGTGTGTGATTCCGCAGGAGATGGTTGGACCACCATGAGTAAAGCTAGCGCAGTGGACTGTGGGTTCGGAGCTCTGGGTTTGCATTTTTTTTTAACTGAATGATCAAAAATAAAGGGATGATGGTTATATTATTTTTTCAAAGAAATGGACTAGGGGGAAGGAGGGATAATGGTAGCCAGCATGACACTAGTAGCTGAGTGATGCAGGAAGAGGAGCAAAAAGGGAGAGAAACATGAGGAGGCAAACAGCAGAATCGACTTAACTCAAAGAGGTATGTTATAGTGAATAAACAATATCAAGACAAGTAACTCCACCTAGCTGTCAGAAGTTGTGGTTTGTAATGTTTCATAAAATTCTTCTTTCTCTTTTGTCTTTCTCATTTATTCTCTGGGTCGCGGGTAGGTCGTATCTTCATCTCGGAGAACTTGAGGGAGTACTGCCAGCCAGTCCAGGAGGACCACTCGATGCCGTCAGCATAGGAGGTGTGTTGACCGCGCAGGTACTGGCCGTTAAGGTTGGAGGTGTGGCAGTTGCGGTACCACCAGGCACCGTGGTAGAAGGAGGCGCAGTTGTTCTCTGAGTGGTCGTTATCCTTGTCTTTGGTGGTGAACTTCATCCCGTTGTGCTTCAGCAGAGAGTCACCTAGGGCAGGAAAAAGAACAAAACTGTAATGTCAATACATGTTTAAAAGTAGAATATAGATGTATTTTTATTAAACAGACTTGTATATTGGCATTCAAGGAATGAAACAAGCTCTCATAAACATGAGCAGCTGGGTGATTGAAGAAAAAACGTTTTAAGCAACAGCTATTGCATTTGAACCAACATATTCTACTCTTCAGTTAATAATTTCTATAAACATAAAGAGATGATAGAATAAAAAATAAAGCTCCACAGTTCTCCAGAACATGGCTTCTCACTATCTAAAGCAGAAGGTCAGACTGGCTTTGTAGCCAATTTATCAAAGGTTCTGTGGTGACCTTTTTATCTTCCTCTTTTTAATAACACCACCCCAATGATATAATCAGGATGTCAGTTAATGGACAGAAATGGACAGAGGGGGGGAAAATACGTACTTAATGGACTTTCTTTCTTATGTGCATGTGCATCTTTTAGGTATTTGGTAGGTTTTGTTTGGTATATTAGGTAACCTGAAACCTTTAAAATATAAATAGTCAGTGAGAGGGCATTCTTCCCTGCAATCTGTGATTGTGAATATGACAATGATATTATACAACTCCAAGGATGCAAGATGTATAATCTAACTACCCTTAATCATAGTCGGCATGGTAAGCCTGCAGATTCAAATTGCAGAGCTCAGCTAACATTGATAACTGCTTTACAAGCCATTGCTCTAAGAGGCTTAGAATTAAAATAAAAGCAAGTCCTTGCTATCCTGTGGTAGACCTAAAGTTTTCAGCAAATGGATGTTCAAAGAGCTAATAATGTTCAATAAACCCACCATACCTCCCCTTCACTCCCTGTCCTTTCCTTTCTTTCTAAAGCAGGCTTCACACTGTGACCAGAAGTGGACGGATAAAGCTGAGAGCAGAATGAAAGACTGCTCACCAGCCATCAGGTGATGGCTAACAGCTCGTCAGGGCATCAAACAACCCTTAATTGCCCAGGATGTGGCCGCCCAGCTCTTTACCCTCTCACTCTGTCCTACTCTGCTCTCCATTTGGCATTACCATGGTAACCAGTCAGTGGAATAGATAATCTGATAGGCATGTCTGATATTCATGTAGTGTGCTGCTCGACATTGGGTGAAAAGAGATAGTGAGGTAGTCAATTGACAATGGGATGATGTCCGGCGGAGGTAGCAGCCTCCTCTGATGCCCATTAACATCCAGCTGCTCCTAGCTCAAATGAGCACCTGTCGGCTGATCAGAAAGCAGCCACAGCACAGCAAAATACTACTACTGATGATGATAATAATAACAATAGCACTGTCTAGAGGGAAGCCGAGGTGAGACCATGAGCATCCTGAGAGAGTTTGAGTACCCTTAATTTGACTGGATCCAAATGTCCAACAAGCAGGATGAGTTCAAGGTCAGGTCATGCTGAGGACAAGCCAGGAGGTTTACAGGGCTTTTTAGCAGGAACCATATCTGGGGGAAAAGCTGTTACACACACACAACCTTTTTTATTTCTCTACTTTTATCTGCCTCCTCTTTCCCTTAGACACCTCTATACTAATTTTTATTTACCTATGGCTCACTTCTGTTACTCTCTTCTTCTTGCACACCTGTCCCCTTTGTTCCTCCATCCTAGTTTCTTCTAGCCCTACCTCTCCTCGGCTCCATCTCTCATATCTGTCCCCATTCTCTGTGTTCTCGGAGCAGCGCTCCCCAAAGGTTCTTTAAATTGCTTCTTCATTTCAACGGCAGGTTTTTGTTTACGCTGCAGGTCAAGCAGTGCAATTAATTGGCAGTAATTTAATCAAGGTGACAGGTAGCTGGCTTGGATCTGATGGTTGGGGAGCAGAGACACAGACACTTGCAGTCCCCTATCTGTGTGTGGCTGTCTACATGGTTTAACAAGTGGACACACATACTGCACTGTAAAAATAACATACTATTATTATTACTAGAAGGCAGCATGCACTTGTAGTTGGCTAGAGCTTTAACTGCTGTGACGTCTGTGTTCACAATTAGGTTAAATGAAAAAAAAAATGTGTCGGAAACCAAATAAGTAGTGTACTTTCAGAGTACAAGCAAAGGAAATCTTGAAAGCAAAGTCTATCTAGTTCACTGGTTAAACATACCTGCATTGCCAGAATAGTCTCCCACAGTCAAAGGGTATCCATCATCATCGGGGTCCACTGAGAAGAGGCCTACTCCAAAGGTACCATACTGGGCAAATGCGGTGCTATTTTCAAAGTCCTCCAAGTCAATACGTAGCTCATAGTTCCCCTGAATGGACAGGGCATGGATCTGCTTCAGTCCTGCAGGGCAAGGGGCAAGACACAGACGAAAACAATCCATTACAAAGAACTACCGTTGTTCTCAGCAAACAATTTAAAGCTATTACAGTAGCATCTCAACACCATACATTTCCTGGAAATAAGATGTAAAATGTTTTTTTTTTCTTCCATTTAGAGTCTCTTACTGCATGTGTAGGGTTTCTTTCCAAAACAAGATTAGAGTTTCTTTTCAAAAGTGTGTCTACAGCTCACAGAAAAGTTTGCAGTGAGGATGAAGAGACCAGCTGAATCCGCTGAAACGATGTATGTGATTTGTAATGACACCAACTTCTTCACACTTACATGCAGTTGGAGCATGAACTCTAGCATTTGATACAAACTCACCAATCTTTCACAGTCACAAATTTTATTAGAAAATCTGCATGGAACATGGGTACCAACAATGACCTAATATTTTCTAAAGATATATTTTCAGCCAAATCTCACAGGAATAACCTAAATCTGAAGAATTATCTCTAACCTGCTTCTGCCTATTGGCCCTGGTCCTACTTAGATCATCCATTGCCTACCCTAACCTAATATTATGAATTTGCCTGTAATTGCTTTAAATTCTCCATCACAGGGTGGGTGTCCTGGATAAAGGAGATGTTATAAAATGGAGCATGTACTAGCACTAGTGGGGAGAGAAAAGCTATTTTATAAAATAAAATGCAGAAGGTTATGTGTAGTTTAGTTTATTAATAATAATAATAATAATAATAATAATAATAATAATAATAATAATAATGATACGGTATTTTTGGAACAGAATTTCTTCAAAAATGTATTTCTTCAACTAAACTCAACTTGTAGCATTGGCTAGGAGGGCTCATGGTGCGGCTGTGGCTCAGAGGAAGAGCGGGTCGTCTACTAATCGAAAGGTTGTCGGTTGTGCATCGGTGTGTGAATGTGTATGAATTAGTTAGTTTCTGTTTGATGGGCTTTGCCATCACTGACTAAATATGTGTGAAAGAGTGAATGTGGCACGTAGTGTAAAAGCGCTTTTAATGGTTGGAAGACATGAAAGGCGCTATACAAGTACAGGTCCATTTACCATTTACTTATCAAGGACAGTGAATTGCTTTTTGAACCAACTGATTCTCATTCTTCCAAAAGAGATGGCATTTATACAATGTCTAATTCCCTGCTCTGTCTCAGAACATCAAAGACAGATCCTAAAACTTACAAGGATACTTGACTTGATGCAAATGTTACCCTTTAATATCAAAAAGATCCTGACAATATGTGTGTTTTACTGTAATCTTCATTCAAAACACACTGGCAAATTGTTTAGTTTATAGAAAATATTTGCTCAGTTACCCATTTATAAACTCTTATTAACTTTTGATTTTGCACACATGATTAAGCATCAGGACTCAGCTCATTAATGACCACAATAAGCCATGAATCCTTATTATTACACTGGCACTGCATCTTAAATAGAATTAACCTTACATTGCATTCTCAGTATGTGTAAAGATAAGATCATTTTCATTTCAAGTATGTTTTATAAATCCTTGATTGTGGCTCTATGCATTAAGTCATTATGTGTAATAAAATTCCTTCTGCAGGCCACCTTAATAAATGAAAGATGATTTCAGCTCACATCCAACTATCTCAGCTGTTTCTGATTCAAGCTTGCCATCGCTTCATTGGATGCCCCGAACTGATCTTTTAATTGTTGCTCAATCCTTTAGAGAGAGTGTGTAAGACAGAAAGTGCCAGGAGGAAAAGAGGTTTCCATCCCTTCTTCCTTGCCCCCTCCTGTGTTGGAGTGATGGTGCTTCCCAGGGCAAGTTTTCCTCTCCTGGGCTGATCAAAGGTACAAGAAGAATACTGTGTCAGGCAGAGAGGAGCAGAAAGAACTCAACCTGCATTCCTTGAACACAAAATTCAAGGCAGGAAGACAAACAAAAGTGAACTTGGTCTCAAGACTTAAAAGCTTTGCTCCATGCTTACAAATGCACTCTATACAGTGTGTATTTTTGACACAAAAACCAAAACATTTGAAGGCGCGCATTGATGGAGAAGCTTGAAAGGCTTCATGGTTAAGAATGAGGGTTGGATTTAGAGCATGCAGAGAAAGCTGTAGGTTGAAATAGCTGGTTTAATGTTGGTTTTTACTGTAACATGAGTCAGAATCAGCATGAAAGTCGATGGACCACAGGAAGGAAGGGGATTTCATGAACTTCAACACTGTCATTTTACCTCCTATGGCAATCATCACCTTCACAAATGAAACTCATTCTCCTTTTTAAACCTTACATACTTCAAACTGACTTTTTCTAATCTGAATTCCATTGTTGTCGAGAATTGCTCTCTGAGAGGACCTCGTCTGAAGTAGAGGGCTAATTTGATGACAAACACAGCTGAAAGAACCCATTATTATTCAGAGACAGAAGCTTGCAGTGTGGGCCCATGCACTTAGTTTGGATTTAATCTAGCCCAATGGGAGGGTTGATCCTGTTCTTTTCACTTTCACAGTGGATCAGCAAATTGGAGGTGGAGGATTGGTCATTAATACATTCATAGGCAGGTTACTTCACGCATGTCAGTTATCTGTTCATTCTTATACAGTGATATAAATACTAAAGTACTGGGTACTGTATGCAGGAAACAGACACACAGAAACACACACAAAACGCAACACATTTTTACATGCATTCAGAGAAACGAAAATGGCTCATTTGCAGAAATAGTTTTCGTGTCACAGCCCTTTGAGAAAAAGTATCAATCCACACAACACCTAAGGGAAAAGTACCCCGGAGTGATTTGACAAACTTCAAAAGAAAGGCTTAGGATGTTTTCTCTTTCAGAAAAAAAATGAAAATAAAAAACACAACTCTATTTAAAGACTGTGCGGCTTCCAACTGTATTTACATAACTTTAATTCAGTCCCTAATTAAAGCCCCAGAGAATCTCAGCGAGACTTTAATTCAGAATAATTAAAGAGGAAGACAAGTGAAATAACAACAGAGACTTCTTTGGTTAAAATCTAAATGCTCAGGTGTAACTCCTTGTTAATTAAATGCTATTGTTAGGTTATTTAAAATGGGTTCCAATACAAGGGAGAATTTTGAGGTGTTTTGCTTCAGTATTAACATGCTGATTGCTCCATTGGGAAGAGACTCTTCTCTCTTCTCTCTTTGCCATTTAAGGGAAGCTTAGCAGAGAATCAAAAAACTTCTGTCCTTCTACACGCTTTAGATCAGCAATTAGGGTATGCTTTCTTTATTCCCTGTATTCTGACTTATATCTGGGCCACATTGAGGCACACTGTTTTTCTGTTTCTGTTTGTTTTGATTGTACTGTCTACCTTTTTTATTCAACTCTGTGGCACCGTATTAGCAACCAAACAAAGCAGGTAACATGAACCTAGACAGTCTGGGGCCCCAAGTATCATCAGGTTGTCTTTGTGGCAATAACACAAATAGTAATGGCCAAGGTGGTTCATTTATTTGATCAGAATCTAGTTTAAATACCTTTTAATATTTCAATATTAATATTTCCTACATGGTGCATGTTCTTAAACCAATGTGTTTAGTCAAATTATCATAACAGACCTAAAATGAACGAAATAACAGCACATGCCAGGGGCAGGAATTCTGGTTGGTTCCTGTGTGGGAACAAGTTTGGGGGGGGTAAGAAGGTTGCCCTGGGGCCCCCTAGTGGGCTAATCCAGCCCTGCCTTGAGCTACATTTTTCTTGAGCATACAGTGACTGTACACTTCTGTGGCCCTGCAGCCCCTGCACTTAAAACTACAAATTATGAATGGGTAGCTCCTTTGAACTTTTTACAGATACATCTCCATTTTACACAAACATTACTATACAGGCATAATTACTCAATGTCATCTAAAAAGAAGATAAATAATACTGGCAAAATCAGCATCTCATTTTGAACAATCAATGTGTTTACTGATAAGGAATCTCATTTAGAGTGTGCCTGATTAACAAACACGTCGATGGGACGAAAAACCTTTAAGCATTCTTTGGCATTAAATCATCCATGTCATTACAGTCTCCTTTACAATGTCCACTGCAGTAACACCAAAGCTGAGGCCTAAAAGGCGCAGTGTTAAAAATAGTACGTCCACTGAAAGCTAAACATTATCTTCATTGTGTCCGTTATCATGAATATTAGCACTTCAGGTGGCACAAAGTCATAGAGTCTCCTCTCACAAGAAAATCAGGACAATCTTAAATTTAGGACACATTAATGGATGTGGGACTATTGGTCCTTTATGGTAGTAAATCTATGAAAAATGACAATAAAAATGATAAATATCTGCAATTACCTCATTAAACTAGGTCATGGTAATCCATAACTCATTTTCACAGCTCTGAGGTTTATAGGGAAGAGGACAAATTTAGCTTGTTTAGAACATCAAGACAGCAATTTGTCAGTTTTATCTTTTATTCATTCTGAGAGGGCATGTTGTGTTCTCCAGAACTTAGAAGAAACAAAGCTCAAGCCTTCCTGACATTGATTAAACTATTACCACCAGAGATTCCTCCTTCTTAAATGTGATTTTATAGCTAATGAGACTGACATCAATGACTTGATTAAAAATGTAGAAGACCTCTGTGAGATGTCTCTCTGATGCTGCTAAAAGGCCCAAATATTAATGATTTATTTGCTTTTATTTGAAAAGTATGTAGGGTGAACGTATTGGATGCTTTTAGGGGACGGGTTACAGTCCTGTGCTCACAATCTCAGCGTAGTGCAGCACTACAGGGCATAAAGGAAAAGAATAAAAAACAGATCTCCAAACCCAACAGAGAAATGATTACACTTCTCTCTGCTGCTTGTGACATTTCTCAAAGTTAATTATTCATCATGCTTTTCTCCCTCTGTTGCTGGGGGGCAGCTCCTGAGACTGTTACAGCTGAAAAGGAGAAAAAGAGCAGCACTCTTCCGTCTCCTCCTTCCCGCTTCCTCCCACCATAACTCAAGCCCTCCCTCGTTTTGTCTTTCCTTT